ACAAATATCATTGATCACATTACATTGGTAATACAATTGTGATGTTAAAAAATGATATTGACCCCTGAAATTTTGGTTCACTTTGTCTGGTTTTGTTGCAGCATGTCCCATTTACAATTTTTATTGGTTTTGCAGATCCTTTAATTCCATATATTTTTGATTTCCCGTGATATGTAAAAACCTTTTTAAAATCAAATGATTGAAGAAAAAATCAAATTAATCATGCTGCAAATTGTTAAAAATTGAATGATTAATGGCACCATTAAGAAAAGAGTCAAGTGATTAAACTAATGATTTCTAAAATAAGATTAGTTATGAACATAACTTATTAAAATAACCTGTCAAATCCTTCTGTCCGTCCATTAATGATATATTTATGATTTATTAATTCAGAAACATTATATTAATATTAAGCAAGCTATGCATTTAAACAAGATATATAGGAATTCTTAAAATATAATAATACTTAATATAATACAGTAAAATTTACAAATAATCAATTATTATTATGAAAAAAACTAGTAATGTTTGTTTATATCAAATTTTGAATATTATATATGATTCTATTTTTTTTTAAAAAAGCTTTACAACTTCGTTAATCAAAACATTAGGAATAGTTGTGCTACTTACAATAACATCCTCCCCTCCAATAGAATTAAGAATTCCCTCTTCAGTTGGCATTTCATTATTCTATTATCAATTGATATATATAGAAATTGAGAATTATTTGTGTAAAAATCATATGGAAAATTTTGATTAACATTATTATTTGGTAATGCATTTAGAAGTTTGAGAATTATTCATGCAAAATCATTATCCAGAAATATGATATTATTATTTAGTAATGAAGGGATTTTGGTAATTTGGATTGATCTTAATATAATAATGTGGATTTATTTTGTTTAATTGGAAAACGTATATCACGTGAATCCGTTGCAACGCGATTAGTATTTATTACTAAAATCTTACCAAAAAATTCGTCGTTGTCCGTTGAAACGCGATTTAAATATAAAATCCATTGAAACGATAATTTTTTAATTAATATTAATAAAATCAAAGGTAAGGGGTAAAATATAAAGTGCACAATAATAATGGTACAATATAGATGGATAATCTTTTTTTTTACACTTGAAAGACAGTAGGTGAAATATGATAATTATGTTTTAAAAAATCAACAAAAGACTTGGAAACTATTTTCTTATTTGAAAATTCCTTGATGTCTCATCACCCATTATTCTTTGCTCATCTGCAATTTTCCATTCATAGATGCATTGATTTGTGCATTGTTACATTTTTTTTTTGTTTTATAATGTTCATAGAACCTTTGTAGGTAAAATTTAAAAATCTCATGTAATTTTTGGAAAAAAAAAATTTTATATAACAATCATTAATGGATGAAAAAACTCAAGAACAATCCTCTATCTCTTCAACTTCAACTGCATCATCATCATCATCACCTAATTTCAACCCTAAAATAAAAATAATTCCAAATAATTTTGGTGACTTGATGTCATTAAGTGAAACAAATTTAAAATTACCTGAAGAATTTACTAGTTTGGAAAGGATTTGTTTGACTGCAAATGGAAACTTGCAGAGAATCTTGAGGTAATTTATATTTATAAACTATCACTATCACCATTATGTTTCTCATTACTAACAGATATAATACCACACAATTAAATATCACAGTTCATGGTTTAATAAAACCATTGAAATTAAAATAATTAAAAGCATGCTGGTTTCATCACATAAATCAAATAATTTAGTTTATGGATCAACAATACTTCGTAAATATGATAGAGAAGTTAATTTAATGTGTGATGGTGTAATTCTATGTAATGCTAAAAGTAATATAATTCTAAATGATGAAGAAATTATTGATTTAATTGAAAATCAAGGAGTTGGAATTGGACAATTATTCAGGTAAATATATTAATAAGCATGAGAATGAAGATGAATATGGGAAGATGAAGATGAAACGGAAGGAGGAAAAATATCATGCAACTATAATACTAATAATATGAATATAGATATTTAGATAAATTACCATCCTTCAAACTGCATTCGATTGGTCGTACATTAAATACTTGGTGGAGGGAATACACATTAAAAATATCAGGTGTTGAGTGTAATATCAAAGAAGTATTTCCTAATAATATATTTGAAAATGACTGGCTATTAAATAATAATTATAAAGTAGTTGAAGATGAACAAGATATTAAAATTTGGAATTTCATCTAAATTTATTTAGAAGATTCTATTAAATATTACTGTTTCCTCTTATCTATTACACTAATGCGGGTATTTTCTAATAGACTATTTTGGATTATAAATTATACCCAACTCCATGGTTTCTTTTCTATTTTCTATTGAAAACCCTCCCATATACATACTCCTTGAACTAATTTAAATAAATTACATTTTGATGACTCCTTTTTGTATCACGAACACTAAATATGTAGAAGTTCAGTGAACAAATACTGTTACACATTGATTTTGGTTTTATTCCATTAAAAAGATTTAAATCGTTCAAATAAAAAATAAGAACAATAATGTCACCAATTACTCGTAGCAAAACAAGTCCAAGACGTTAGTTATATCCAGTATTTCCAACTTTAGCAGAACTAGATGATGCTTTTCTATTAGCTGTATTGCGTATACAAAAAGATGCTCAAAAATTACTTGGCGCGGAGTTAACTGCACTAGAAATCAGGCAAAAACTTTATAATAGTCAGTCACAAGAATTCTGGCTGGTTAATAATTTCGATGCTTTACATGAAGTTATATATTATAAAATGAAAAAAAATTTATTTACCAATTATAAAGATCAATTAACAGCTGCTGGAATAGAAGTTACAAAAAAAGTGGATACAATGCAATTACTAATTAAGACAATTATTGATGATAACAACAACAATAACAATGATATGAATGGTAATAATCAAATAGATTCGTTGGAATTTAGTAATGATCATTATCAAAATAACAATAATAATAACAATTTTATTGATTCGCGAATTTCAACGCTAATAACTGCCGATGATAACGATTATTATAATGACAATGATAGTGATATTTGTGGTGTAGGTAGCAGCAGCAGCATTTGTAGCGAGCTTAATAATAATGAAATCAATTATGGTAATATTAGCATTAACCAGATAAATAATAGTGAAAGCAGTTGTAGTTATTTTGGTAGCACAGTTGGTGACAATTACACTTGCAGTAATAACAATGGCGATGGTGATGGTGATTGTGATGGTGATTGTGATAAGAATAGAAACAGTGACACTATTGAATTAATAAGAGAACAATCTTCATTTTATACTGAGACACACCATAAATTTCAAAATTATATAAAGAATTTTATTTGTAAAGTTGATTATTCGTATTTAAAAAGTTTAGGAACAAAAACAAATCTATTTATTATAATAGTGTTGATTATAATTTTTTTTAACGACTTTGGTGGTACAAATTATTATTATCAACAGTTTACTACTGGTCATTATCAACACAAAGGGTCATTAAATAATGTTCAACTTCGTGACAAGGTAAAAGAACGAGTTATAAAGTATGCTGAGCAAGAGATTTCAAAAAGAACTCACAATTTAGCCAACAACAATAATAAACCAAATGATCTTATTGGTTTAGTTAGAACACAAATATCTGAGGTAATATTATATTTAAAAGTGTTTTATTAATATTAACATCATTAATTGATCAATTAATTAATCAATTAAAAATATTAGGAACTAGAAGATAAGTTAACAAAGATTGTTCATGGGTCAAGTACTGATTATGCTTTATTTACAAGTGGTGCACAAATTATAAGTCAACTAACATCAAGAGTTTATGAAGAATGGCCAAGAAAAATGCACCAGAAACTATGGGGTTATTTAACACATCAAAATATTATAAAAAGTCGTGAACCAGATGTAGTGTTAAAACCAAATACCAATGTTGGTGAGTGTTGGTGTTTCAATGGTACAAAAGGTCAAATTGCCATAAAATTATCTAGAAATATTGTTTTCACTCAATTGGCACTATATCATATTGGCAAAAATGTTTCAATTGATCCAATCAGTTCTGTTCCAAAGGATTTTGAATTGTGGGGATTACCTTCAGACAATGAAGAAGATGTTAAAAGAAAAAAGGAAAATGTTGTTTGGAATGATGATAATGATAATAACATTAATATTAATAATGATGGTGATAGTGGTGTCAATAATCATATTCATAATAACATCCACAGTCATAACATTCATCATATTCATAATGATAGTCATAATAATGACAGTAGTAGTAACAGCAGCAGCAATAACAATGATGATGATGAAAACAAGAACAATTTTAAATCACTCAAGAGAAAATTTTTTAAAATTAAGGATTTCAGTATATTTTTAGGCCAATATCAATATGATTTAATGGGCAAACCATTGCAAATATTTCATTTGCCAAAATCTATTTCAAGAGTCAACAATAAACGCATTCAAGCTATAATGATGAAGGTTTTGAATAATCATGAGAACCCAAGATTTACTTGTTTATATAGACTTCAAGTACATGGACTATTTCCACAATAATAATTACATTGTAGAAGTGTGGAAGGTTTATTATTATTATTATTATTATTATTATTATTATTATTATTAAATTTATTATTTGCATTCATTTTTCTATATATATATATATATATATATTCATATATTTTTCTCCTCTCCTTCTTGTAAATATTATTATTATGCATATAATTTTTAAATAAATAAATAAAAATAAAAATGTTATTTTCAATTAATCTTCAAATACAAATTTTTTATTATTTCAAATTTATTTTTTTTAAAGTACATTCATAAAATCTAATAATTTTTTTATTACAAACTTTAAAAAATTTCTAACTTATCTATTTATTTATTTTATTATTTATTATTCACCAATCTTTGGTGCAAGATAATATCTAAGAAAACTACTTGTAGAATTTATAGTATATTCTACAAGCAACGGCATCTCTTCAGATAAACATAATCTAACCTGATCAGATAATGGGGAACCTTTGGTAAAATTCATCAAGTATTTGAGTGAAAATTGAAGTGAAACTGGTTTCGTAACAATGATTTCGATCGTTTCTTCAGGCTAACAAATAAAATATTTATACATGTTAATAAATATAGTAAATATAATATTTTAAAAAATATTTTTTAAAAAATAAATAAATTACTTTATCCATGGGGGAAGTTGGTTTCAATTTTATGCTGCCATTACCAAGTTCACCTTCTGTAATGAATCTAATTTCATCACCGTCAATTTCAATTTTTACTTTTTTTTTTTTTTTTATTTAAGAAAAAATAATCTGATATTAATTAACTATAATAATAATAATAATAATAGCAATATATTTCAAAAAACGAAAATGTTATATAAATTACCAGTTTCGCCAATAACCATCATATCACGACATACTCTTTGAAACTCGGCAGACGGTAAACTTACTATTGCATCATATACTGTTTCTGGAATACTTAAATGCTCTTGATCAATGTCCATTAATTTCAATTCAAATTCGCTAAGTTTATCATTTGCTTATAAAATAAATAAATAATTAATTTATTTATTAATTAATTTATTTTCTGAAAGTTAGCAAATAAAATTTTTGCTTACTTGGAGCTGAAAATGCCATGGCTAAAGTCTCTGGAGAATTGTCATCGGCTTTTAATGTGATAGTATCATCATTTCCGGCACACCTCAATAACTTGTTAAGAGAAGTTAAATTTACACCCAAAGAAAAACCTCTATCACATCGATATGTAGAAAATAATTCGTTACTTAATAAAAGTGATACTAGTGCTACGTGTGAGTTATCCATGGCTTGAAGTGCAATACCCGTCTCACTACAATCAAAATTTGCATCTGTAACAAGTTCTTTGATAGCTTCTAATAATTTTTTAAGCATTAAACCTTGACTTAAATGTGCTTCAAACATTTTATTGTTGTGTAATTATTATTATTTATTAAAGCGAAAGATTATTTATTAAACTGAAAGATATTATTGTTAAGTGAAAAAGATATTATTATTATTAAAGCGAAAAAGATATTATTGTTATTTTAAATAAAAATACTTTCTGTCTTGTTATTTATTTAATAAATTTAATAAATTTGGAAGCAACGCGATAAAAAAAAATAAATTTATTTTGTGCAACTTTCAAAAGCATGTTTAAATTTCTTTATTTAAAAAAAAAATCGCGATTTTAAACCTAATTCAAAAAAAAAAATACAAATTTTTTTCTTTAAATATTTTTATTTAAATTTTTTTTATACATAAATAAGGAATAATAATTATCATGTCTGATCAACAATGATGGATGATGAATTTTTGCAAATAAATTTTTATGTTTATGTTGTTAACTGTAGAGTCTGAAGTTTTTTAGATGGAAGATGTCTTTGCAAATATTTGACTTCAGCTTCCAAGTCCTTAAAAAATTGTATAACAATAATTATTATTATTAAATAATGATAACTCGGTCATGATGATATCGTCAATTAATTGGATATTATTACTAACCTTGCAATACTCGTCCAATGGTAAATCATTCTTATCATAACCTATTTAATTAAAATAAAAAAAAATATTTAGAAATTTAAATATCTTTTTATTTATAATTAATAATCATAAATGTTATAAATATATACCGAATGGATTCTCAATTTCAGCTCCTACATAACAAATAATTAGATTAATTCATCAGTCAATCAATAAGAAAATAAAATTTTCAAATATAAAGAATTTTTTTATAATATTTACCAATTGTTTCAACACCGAAAAGTATAAAGGCGATAACCATAACCACTGGAATTACTAACCATCCGAGAGCACTGACCATTGTAAATGGAAGAACCCACACATATATAGTTACAGCCTGTTTACTATACATATGATATAATATAATTTTCTTTTTAATAAAGTGTTATAAAGAAAATTACAAAACCGCTTCAAGACAAAAGAAATTTGTTACTTACAGATGAACGTTGTATGCAAAAGGAATTGGTGTATTGCTAATTCTTTCCAAACTTCCTAAAATATCAACCAAGGAATTTAAGCTTCCAGAAACAGTTCCAAAGCGATTACCATCTATTGTTCCTTCTTGTATTTTGGCATCAATATATAAATTTATATGGAAAATGATTTCAAGTGGAAGACTCATGCTTGCATCGACATCTTCGCCCCAATCATCACCAAACCACAAAGTGCTCTCGCTGGCAGAAATTGAATTACGAAGACTAGCATAGACGGTTGGTGGAATTCTGGTTAGAAGCGAACGATGTGAACGATTAAGAGTTGAGACAGAGCTGTTTGCATTTTCAGAGCTGTTTGCATTTTCTGGTCTGTTTGGATTTTCGGGATCACCTTCTGCAACATCAGTATTTTCTTGCCCAGCGTTTCCATCAAAAAATGTAAATTGGAATCCTTCGGGGAGAAGATCTTGTAAATCAAACCATTCTGTGCCAAATTCCAATCGAAGATGATGCTTAGTAGCAACTGCAAACGCCAATAATAATTTTATGTTTTTTACTTTTTCTTTATGATCATGACCATTATCGTTTCTTTCTACTACACCAACCCAAAGTATACGGGTAGCATTTCTAATATGTGTGCTGGAACGAAAATAATATTTAGTAAAATTTCTTTGTTGTCCACGTGATTTGATATTTTCTTAAAAAAAAAATATTGAAAAAAGCAACATATAAGCATATATATATATATATATATACCAACCACATATTAGTAAATAATTTTCGTCCCTCGTAATAACGATCGTACGCATTATTTGTACGAAAAGCCAACAAAAGACCAACCACCACGGAAACAGAACCAACTATTGGAAATTGTTTAATAAACAAATTATTTATTTATTTTATAAAACATGCAAAAAGATTTCAGATTGAGAGCAATAAAGAAAAGATAATTGGCCAAATGCTTACTTATGCTGCCCGGTAAAGTCACATCTATATCCAAAACTTCGTAAAGAGCGGCCACAATTGTGGCGATAACTGTCGAAAAGAATATGATCGGAAAACAGCTTGGAAGCACCTAAATTTAAAAAAATTTTTAATTAATTAATTAATTATGAAATTTTAATTTTTAATTTTTTAAACTTACAGAGCCTTTAACACGAAAAATATCAGGGTAACCCCATCCTCTAAGTCTTGTAATTTCCTGACAACAACCCTCACTTTTGTGAGGATTTTTCATATAGGGATCGATAGGCATCTTGACTTGTTGTTATTTTTTAATTTTATCAAGGAAAAATTAATTTAATGAACGAGAAAGAAATAAAAAAAGAACTAACTACTAATTTTTTCTAATGATGTGATGATCAGTTTCTTATTTGTCAATTGTGAATTGTTTGTGTTCAATAATAAATAAAAACTAGATTAACCTTTAAATTCTCCTCTTTTAGGAAATTGTTGAACCCTAATCCACAGCCTCAATACCAAAATCATTAAACGTTCGTTACATGTATTTTTTTTAATGAAACCATTACCTGTTTATATCTTGTTGTTATCATTGTTAATTGGCTCTAGATCTGATTGATTGAATTATTTGTTTTTCTTTTTTTTTTTTAATAATAAAAAAACGCCATAATAGTGTTATAAATAATAGTTATTAGGGTTTGCAAGTCATGAGACATCACACATCGGTTAAATCGATCGAATAACCAAAGAAGTTTATTTAAAAATTCTACGAAACAAATAAATAATAAAAATAATATACATAACATAATATAATAATATACAATAAATGCTAATATTAAAAAAAAAAAAAATTAATCATCTTTTTTCAAGTTTTTAATTTCGTTCATTAAATTATGCATTTGAATCAGTAATTGTTCATTTTTCTGATTTAATTTATTTTCAATTTCTTTAAGATCACTTTTAAGATCGTTAGTATTAGTAAAGTCTTTTTTAATTTCTTTTATATCGTCGTCAAGGTTTTCGAATTTCGAATTGAAATCTGTTTTATGCACATCTAACATTGTTCTAAGTTCTTCGGAGATAAACGGAAGAAGTTTTGGATCTTCATTACTACGATCAACTTCGCCAATTTTTCTTCGAAGATCGTCAACTGGCACATAATAGGTTCTGGGATAATGAAAATAAATGAATAAATGAATCATGAATAATAAATAAATCGTAAATAATAAACGAATTATAATTATATATTTACAATATATCAGGGAAAAGATTTCTCCGACGACGTTGATTTGGAAGTAAATAGAATAGCTCAATCTCTGTTATAATTTTTAGTTGTTCAGCATAGAATCCTTCTTGTGCATTAGTTTTTTCAATAGCTTTACTGAGCAAACCAATGAACAAATTCATTAGATACAACACAACTATGAATGAAAATGTGACAAACAACATTGCTAGATATGGATCATCTTGCATTGACCAAGATTTAAATGCTCCGTTGTTATCCCCTAATGTATTAAAAAAATCAATTGAAAAAATTAAATAAAAATTTTATGGTTAAATCCAATCCAAATCGAATCTTAAAATTACCTGCAAGAAAACTATACAGTGCCAGTACTGAAGAAAAGTATTGTGTGAACATGTTTGTGTTTCCATCAGGTTGTTGAATAATAATTGAATCTTGATTATGTGAATTATTGTTTGTAAAATATGTAAAGTATTTATTGACAAGATTCCAAGGGTTGTTGGGATCATTATTGATAGTGAGTGTGTCTGTTGTAAAAACTTGGCTTGGTTTCAATAATAAATGAAATGCATGCGCAAAGGATAAAATTATCAGAAATAATATCATTAAAAATGAAAAGATTTTTCTAGCCACTCCTAATATTATAACAAAACATATTCCAAAGAATTTGATTACTCTTAGAAACAACAAAAATTTTAAATTTAATAACAAATTAGCAAGTGAAATCAACTGAATAGGTGGTGGTGTATCATAAAATAACCATAGAGTCGAAGCAATAATTGGCAAGGAATAAACACAGATGTCTGTTAATATAATGAAAAAAGCATTATTATTATTATTATTATTATTATTAAATTTTATCACGATAGATTGATTAATTTAATAATTGTATTAATAAATAATAAAATTGTCATACCAAAGTAACTCCAGAAACTTTTAAGATATCTTGTTGGTTTCCAAATGAATTTTCTGGCTTCAAAATAAAGATGAATTAATCCAAAGAAAATTGCTCTCATCAACAAGGACTTTATTTCAGTATATTCTTCTGGTTCAGCATTGACGGCATAATTAAAATATGTATAATATAATCTAAATAAAGTCACAATCAAAATATATGATGTTATTCCAAAACTTATCCATTTGTGACGCATAATCATTTGACCGTTCCAATGATTGTACAATTCCAACGGGTTTAATTCAACAAAAACATTACTTGCTGGCTTGTATAACAATTCTTTCCAGAACGAATATTCATTGTTGTAAGTAAGGAGTCCAGGATATGGAACTGTAAATTTCACACAAGGTTTAGGTTTCTTAAAACAAATATTAAAAAAATCATTACATTTTTTTATTTTTCTAAAAAATTTCCCGCTGTAATTAAAAGAGCATTTATTAATTAATATTTCAAAAGCCTTGGGATTATAACTGGATTTCTTTGGTTGAATAAAATTGTCGACTGAAAATAATACCATTGAAGTCTGGTTAAAAAACCTTGATATTAAATTAGGATGATTTTTTTCTAGACTTGGTAATTCTGATACAACTATTTCTAATAAAGACATATTTGATAAAATGTCTTTTTTAAAGTGATCAAGAAAAGAGTCCAATACTTTCTCTACAAGAATAGCATCATGATAACGTGATACTAGATTTAAAATCATCTTTCCAAATTTGTTGAGATAATAATAGTCATTGATCATATATAAAACCATTTCTTTAAGAGGATGTCTAGCAATTTGATGCATATCAACGTATGTGGTATTGGTATCAAGAAAATCATCCCAAGTGCCAAATAAGTAATCCTCAATACAATTATTATCTATGGCTGATTTGATTGTTGTTAATATTGTATAATTGTGTAATTTGCCATCATAACGATTTATTTTAAAATACTTTGTGAATATTTTAGAGTTTTGATTATCAAATGACAAAATATGTATAAATTGACTTGTTAATAAGATCAAATCATCGTTATATAATAATTTGCAATTTAAAAATTTTTGATTACTCATAATACCATATTCGTCAATTATTGATGGATCATTAACACGTGTTCCATTATTAATTTTTTGAACTTTTATATTAATATTTTCAAAATCATTATCATACTCTGTTGACCAACTGATTGATTTTCCAGACTCTATGATAAATTCCAGAGGTTCATGATCCAAAACTCGTTTATACATTTCGTATATTTCATATAATGTATGTTTTATATAATTAAAATCTATCATTTGTTGAACATCTATCCTTTTTTCACTAAAAATTTCTTTGATGTAAAATTGGCCTCCAACAAATATGGCTGTTTTTCCGTGTGGTAAAATTGGCCCAAATAAAATACCTTTATTATTCGAGTCGTTTATAGTATCATCGCAAAGGTATTCTGTGATATCCATAGAATTATCTGGATTATGAGGATCCGTTAATCTACAATCAAGACTTTTTGTGATTTTATGATAAGTTATTACCAACAAATATTCCAGTTGATCTTTTGTATAAACGAAACCACTTTTTTTCATTTCGGTGTTTTTTCCCAATTCAACTACAATTAAAAAAAGTAAATATGTATTAACACCTACCTGTTAAATATTTATAAATAAAATATAATTGTCATTATGACACTTACTTGAAGAAATCAAAATATTACGTTTTAATGAATAGATTATTATTTTTGCATTATATTTATAATACAGCGCCATCATTGTTTTGTCTTTATTAAATATTATATCAGTGGATTTTATAAATAGTAAATAATAATTATATTGATGCAACATTTTTCCAGAATTCCATCGAGATGTTAATAATTTGTCATCATCATAACCAATTAGAACATTGCCGGAATTTATAAACCATTCTGGATGATGGTCAATATTACTATTATAAACATAATATGTTTTTTTATAAACTAGTTTATTGTTTGCATTATCATTATCATCACTCGTATATGAAAAAACGAATAATTTGCACATGTGATCATCACGCCATGTCATTAATAAATCGTTATTTGTAATAAAATACCCATCATCGAAGCTGTTACAAATTTTGTCTTTAACTGTAAATTCATTGTATTTTTCTCTCGAAAGGTCAAGATGTTCTAAAAAATCAATTATAAAAGATATAAATATTTTATGCTTGTAATATATTAATCAAGTAGTTGATGAATGATTGCTTACTATAAAATCCTTTGTTATCATTTGTACTGGATAATACTCGTTCCAATAAAATTATGCACATGTCGTCGGAAACACCTTTAATGGTTGTCTTTGAGGTTTGAGCAATTGATTCATTTTTGGAATATTTAAAGTACTTATCCTGTCGGATAATTCCATCGGCAAGATTTATTGTCCATCCAACAATGGATTCATCTTGTTCGCTATGAGTAACGAAAAAGTTGCCACCATGGCTACATTTTATTTCATCGATACGACATCCTTTATGTGGATTAGTTGTTATTATATTTTGTTGCTCAAAAACAGCATCGTCTTTTTTCGAATACTCTATTTTCTCGCCAGTTACTACTTCTATAAGTACACTATGATTATTATTATTATTATCCTCTTCCATTATTATTATTGAAACCAAAGAATTTTTTATGATAAAAAAAAAAAGAAAAATTAATGAGAAATTAACGATAAAATTCCTATTACTATATATTTATATAAATTTGATTTAATAATAAATCTGCTTTTGGAACGTAGTTGCTAATTTTGCAGTCGAACTCCTAATTAGTATTAGTACGGAAATCATTTTCCGTAATTCAAAATTAATATTAATCGATTTAGATGGATCCCAGATGATATTGTGATTTTTAAATAATTTAAGAAATTTCAAGGCACTTGATCATGACATACGTATTTTAAATATATAATAATTTTCTAAATTAGTATTGTTAGTAAAATGTCGATCGATTTAAAAATACACACACTAAACTTTTTTAGGAATATATATATTTATATGTAACCAGGGTTTCGCTCGGGTTAGCGTAATTATGTCACAGAACAGACAAACAAAAAAAGCACAAGATGTTATTCTACCAATATATCCAACACAAC